AGAAATAGAGTGAAATGAGTGTCCTGCTCCCCTAGCCTTTTGGAATGCTGCCAGAAGACCCTGCTTCTGTCTTGCCTCACTAAGAATGCTAAGGGAACTCACATTTCTGGATCATCGAGGTAAATCTGAGAACAAATAAGTGGGGCTGGGGATCACAGTAACTGATGTGTGGATCTCAACAACCAGCCCATGGATCCCGTTAGCCAGGTGGCCCACCAGTGGACCCCAACAGCTGGCCCGCATATGACCTTGCAACAGTGCCCCACTGTTCTGTGAAAAGGCTGTGTATGCAAATGCTCTAGACACTGCGACGGGCATCCTTGCTGCCCAATAAACCTTTTCTTGCTTTACTACTTTTCTGAGTCTTGTGAATTCTTTCACATTCTGAGAATGACCATGAGCATCCCAAAACAATACACTGAACATTGTTTTCTGCTATAACAAATGCTATCTGAAGATTTTAGCACTTCATCCTGTACCAGCTGCAACTTTGTCTTTAACTTCTCTATAGTTGTTCTGAAAATTGCTTCCTGTCCCTGCAATTCTTTTCTAAGATCAGCTTCCTTTTCTTTGCTAGCATGTAAGACTTCTACTGTGAAAAGCTGTGATTTTTTTTCAAAGCATCAAGCTCATATTCATAAAAGAGCTTTATTCAACTTGTCTTCATAACCCTCAAATAGCTTTTCCCATTCAAGTTTTAGCTCTTCGAGGGTTTCATTGAAGGTCTCCACCTCTATTCTATGCAGTTCCTCTGTCTTCACCTGAACCTTATTCACCAAGACACTATGATCCTGCTGTGATTTCAACAGCTCTTGGATCTCCTGTCTGATCAGTTTGCAAATCTTCCAATGCTTAACTGTTTGTCTTTTTCAAATTGTACTTGAAGTTGTCCAAAACTCTGTAATCTTTCCTCAGATTTCCTTCTAATCTCGACATGCTGTGGGCTTCTGCACAAAGTTACATGTCCTCAACTCTGTGCTTATAAACTTCCAATTTTGTCAAAGCCTGCTGCTGAATTTCTTTTTTTTAAAAGATTTTATTGGGGAATTAGGGGAGGGAACAGAGTTGGGGAATCGGGGAAGGGGAACAGACAAGTTGCTGTCCTTTTGTTCTTCAGTCTAGTTGTGGAGGACGTTGCTTCACTGGCCCATGTCGGTATTGTGATCATTGCGCTCTTCCTGGCTGAGGCAGATTGGTCGCCAGCCATTGGACCGCCACTCACAGCAGCTCACGGCAGCTCATGGCAGCTCACAGCAGCTGCCGGCCACTCATGGTAGCTCACAGCAGCCCACTGCAGCCCCACTGCAGCCTACGCTGGTGCCGGTGACTCAGGGCAGCCCAGCTCCAGGTCAAGCTGTTGTTCACCATCTTAGCTGTAGAGGGCACAGCGTCACTGGCCCATGTGGGATCTGAACTGGTGGTTCTGCTGCTCAGAGCTTGCATTCCCCAAGCCAACTCTTAACCAGTGAGCCACTTGGCCAGCCCCCTGCTGCTTCATTTTTATGTGATCTAATGATGCTTCTAAAACTGGAATCTTTCTCTTAAGGTCTAACTACTCTGTTACTTTGCTTTTATATTGCAATATTTTTTCTTTTGTTTTGGCAAGAATTTGTTAGATTTCTTCTTCATAAGCATCTTTGAGAACTTGAATTGCAGATTCATGCTCATCATTCTTAGTGTTCAAAGTATATGTTACCTTGGTGAGCTGAGCGATTTTTCTTGCTCATTTTCAGGTGCAGTTTCTGGCTGTAGTCAATGAGGATCTCTACCTGCTATGGGGAGATCAGCGAGGTATGAATTTGGCTGTCCTGGCCACCGAGCCAAGGTAATAGTGCTGCTGCCAGATCATGCCCATGTCGCCAAATTCCCGACAGGCCGTGGCACCTGTTCCCACTCTCAGGGTGGCCTGCGGAGCAACGGCGTCTGGGAGGCAAGAGCCAGGGAGGTCATTTCCAGAGCCGACACCCGGAGCCTTCCAGCTGCAGCTGCAGCCATAGGTGTCTTCCTGCCCAGCGATCCCTGGGTCACCCCCGTCCACTGTCTGGCAGTCCCATTGGCCCGAGGTGGCATGCGATACTCCACATTGTCTTAGTTAATTCTCATAAAACTTTATTATATATTCATTTATTTATGAAAAATATTTATTGAACATTTTCTATGTGCTAAATATTGTTTAGGTGCTAAGGATACAGTGATAACTAAAATCACTATGGTCCCTGCTCCTAGAGGGATTATAGTATAGTAGGAGAAATTCACATTAAACAAATAAAAATAAATATTTAGTGACATGTGATAAATGACATGGCAGGTGTGACACAATAATTGGGGGAGGGGGTTCACTTCAGATAGAGTGGTCTATAAAGGTCTCTGTTAGAACTTGGCATATGTAAGCCAAGACTTAAAGAATAAGATGGAACCAGGCCTTGAGGCAGATGTGAATAATCCTAACATAGAGAACCCCTTTCTCTAATAGGGGAGCCAAAAGAAGATCAGGGAGGCTAAGTAGATACAGTGGTGGGTGAGTGATCATGGCTGAGACTGGAGATGGGCCAGAATATCCAGGGCCATGGTAACTCAGTTTCATTCTGAGTACATGGAGAAATTTTGCAGGGTTTTAAGCAGACAAGTGAAAGATCTGATTTATATTAAAAAATATTGCTTTGGCTGTCTTGTGGAGAATGGAGTGGATGAAGACAAGAGCAAAAGTTGGGGAGAGTTGTTTAAAGTTTATGGTATATTCCAGGTTAGAGATGGTGGTGGTTGGATATAAGATGGTGGTTGAAGATTTGGAGAGAAGTGGATATATTTGGAGGTAGAGTCCAAAGGACCTGGTGGTAGAGAAGCTGAAGTCAAGGATAACTCAGGTGCCTGGTTTGAGTAATGAGGTTGATGTATTACCATCCTCCTTTTTCATTTTAGGAGACCAAAGCTTCAAGAACCTAGGTAACATGTTCCAGGATATATGTCTAGGAAATGAAGTATGTGGATTTGAGCATGGGTCCACCCAACACTAGAGACAACACATGTAACCAACACATTGTACTCTTTCCCAATTAGTCATAATTCTGCTGCTTTCTAAAAGGATAGACATGGTTGTCTTCTGAATTATAGTCTCTCTGTCAACCATAATTCCATTTGCTTAGTTACCAAAGAGAAAGTCAATACCCAGAAGCATGTTTTGGCCTGAAGTAGATTAGAAAATGTTATTTGGGTCACAGGCTGCAAATGATGTTATTCCTTAAATGTTTGACCTGGGTAAGCAGGTTCAAGTCTGAAAGACTGGAAGTGATAATCCTAGATATTCAAATTCTGTTATCAGGCAGACACCAAGCTCTGTTCTCTCCCATGGCATCAGGAGAGAAGATGCATCCTTCTTAAAGTCCTTTGAGACCTTGCAGCAACTTAGATTGTCAAGTGCAGTTGCTCTGGAAGAAATGGGAAAAAGAAGAAAATGAAATAGATTAATAGGGACCAGACCCTCAGGCCACCCATCATGGCTATAGAGGAAATCTGGAGAGCATAGCAGACAGATAGGGTTATTGATAGCATAAGACAGGATTGCATTAAAAAACAAGCAGGTTGAAAACTCAGTTATGCGTGGTGATCTTAATACAAAGTAACATCTTGGATATGTTTTGGTGATGTCCTGAGATTTTCTATAACCTGCTGGTATTTGTGCATCTGTTAAATGGCCCCTTTACTTTTACTTCATTTGCAAAATCAAAGATCTGAAGAGAGAGGTAAGAATGTACAAACATTGGACAATCATGGGCTTACCTGTTTGGGTTGATAAATTGTGGAGTAAATTGTAGCAGGATCATTGTTTTTCATATTTGTTGGGCTTCCCATTCTCTTTAAAAAGAAATGATACCCATTTGACTCACATAGACAAAGAGATACTCATGCATAGATATATTCTCAGGGAAAGGTAGTATGATAAAAATAGGGATGATGTCAAAGTTCTTCAGGAGGAAGGCTAAGAAATGTTTAGTAAGAGGAGCTGGAGACCAAACACCACCAACTCTCAAATCTGTAAAAGTTTAGTGGCATTTTCTGTGCTCCAAACAGAAGCACACTCCAGCAAACCAGTGGGCTCACGAACCAGAGACAGAAGGGTGACCTTGGCAGGTGGCGTGAAGGAAAGGAATCATTCTTGTTCTGCATCCAATTCTACTCTCCATCCTCCATTTTAAAGAACTAATTTATATACCAGATGTTTATTGTATTATATCTTTTGATCAGATCTGTAAGAGCTATAGCTGGAGGAATTGCCTGCTCCACTTTGTTTCTGTGATTCTAACTGCTTGGTCATCAAGTCTTTGGGTTCTCCACAGCATGGGGAACTGGTAGAGTAGGAGAAATGCCTGGTATTAATAGGAGTTCTGTTTGGAATACAAAGTATAGCAATAACAGCAGAAATCCCCCATGCTGCGAGGTTTTAATAGTTACAATTAATTAAGGAACATTTAGGGTATTATCAACCTCTGAAACTCTTCCAAGTACAATTTTATACTAAAGAATAAGTTAACAAATTTTCAGGAGATTAGTTTCTTAGTTGTTGAGAGTGATTCATCTTGTCTTCAAGAGGAAATAGAAATATCTGAACAAGTAAGAGAATTCCTTCGTGTTCCCTGTCTTCAAGGAGCCTGCTTTGCAAATAACTGTGAGGGGTTGTATGAGGGGAGATATGCTTGGGGAATCCAAGATTTCTAGCTAGACCATTTCTTCCATCAGTTGGAGAATGACAAGTTCTCTGGGCTTATTTTTCACAAGACATGGAAACTGTCCTCCCAAGATGTGTAGTGTTCTTAGAAATGTGCCTCTTGCAATGTGGTGGGGAATTGTTGATACCTGACCAAATCAATCCTGTTATCTTGCTACAGGGCAAAAGAGCATTGAGGGCTGCTCATACTTTTAATGTCCTCTACTGTGGAGGGGTTGCAAATTCTTGCCCTTCTTCCCTTCTTGAGAGACTGCTTCTGAGCACCCCTATTTTCCCTACATCCAGGGTGAGAAGCCCCCTACTACAGAATTGTCTCCTTTGGAAACTCTCAAACTTAACTGAACTCTGATCCATTCAGCAAGTATCTACTGAATAAATACATGCTAAGGCACAAGGGAAGAGACAGGAGGGCATAATTTTCACTTTCAGGCAACTTGTAATTAAGCTGAAGGGACAAGACTTAACTAATGCATTAAGTAGTTAGAGAACAGTGCAAAGCAGGGTATGAGTAAACATTCCACTGGGGTGAGAGCAGTGGGGGTTGGAAAGGTTCTGCATAGAATTTTATAGCTCCTGTAGCTGCCTTCTCCTCTCCTCAATGTGTGTATCATTTGGATTAGTCAGATAATTGGGCTGGCAAGTTTGTGAATAATGACTAAAAATAATGACAGTGATAGAATATAAATATAAAGCTGGAAAGACTCACCATGTTTGGATGAGTGATCTGAGCATACACAGTGTTCCCTGGAGAGGATAGATCACACTCTGTGTTCCTCGGGGTCTCTGCTATAAACCCAGGAAGATACAGTTAGTGACAGAAGGACTCCGGGTCTTCTTTCCTGGGACCTTGACTATCCCAGGGGAATTTCTGGCCCCAAAGATGCAGTTGTTTGAGGCATTGCCCCTCCTTAGGGTTCATTCATTTTTGACAATCTTTGGAATTCTGGCTTGAACCTGAACCTTCTCAGTCATGTGATCTATTTCTGATCTCATCTCTTGGAGGAACATGGTTTTGAGATACTCTAAAGTTTCAGGGTCTCCCTCTGAATTCACATGTAAGCCATGAAGCTCCTAAGACCAAATAGTACTGCATACACAAGAGCCAGACTAGAGAACCTCATGGGCAGGCATAATGGAGCCAGATTATTTCATGTATACATTATTAAATTTTTCAGAAGTTCTTAAGGTGATTTTGATTATATTGGAGATGAGGAACTGTAGGCTCAGAAAATTCAATTCACTTGGCACAAAATCATATAGGAAGGGATTGAATAAGAACTTGAATGCATGCCTTCTGATTCCAAACATGTGTACTGTTCTCTACACATGATGTCATATATCTCTTACCCATGAAATTAGACTCAGTGTCAGCTGAGTCCAGAGTCTGCCTTCCAATCTCTATATCACCCGTCCTCTTTTGAATGTGTCTACTCAATGCCCAAACCTTGGCTGAACAGAGTGATGGAGTCAGGCAGTTTGTCTTTGGGCCTTTGATGCTCTAATCCTATCCTTGTTCTGGACTTGCTGGGTGATAATGGACAGGCTATGAGCCCTTCCACTGGCACTTAGCAGGGTGGGGAATGACCCTAATCCCACTCCAAGAAATTGTGTCAGTGACTGGTTCACATGTTTGTAAGGGACCCCGTAGGTCCCACAGGGGACAGATTTGGGCAGTCACAGCTTCTCCCCTTGCATTATCTGGTCCATCTGAGTAATGATATCCTGACTCCATCCTTTCTCACTCTCCAGCCCTCTGACTGGCCCCTTTCTTCTTTCATTTGGCTCTTTCCATCTGTTTTATGTTTGGGAGTTAGGAGTCTGGAAGCTTACCTGGACTCTGGGTTTGCTGAGTAGAGAAACTTGAGGAACCTGAAAAATAAAGTCAGGGAAATTGAAACCTGTGGCTGTAGTGAGAGAGGCCTTCTACCCCCCAACCCCTAGTGTCTCTCTAGAGAATGTGGTGGGAGGGGACCACAAAGGGAAGGGTAGGCAGGTCCTGAGGTGGGTCTTACATTGCCCAGTAAGACACCTTCCTCAGGAGATTAGCAGGTATGTGGTCACACCGCAGGTGTTATCCCAGGGGACTAGCTGAGCCAGGGTTTGCATCCTCCCCCCCCCCCTTTACCTAAAGCCCTAGACTCTAAGTCTCTGAAATCTTGTAGACGAGGCAAGTAGGAAGAAAGAAAACCTGTACGTTTTCTCCTTCGAACAATTAAGCACCAGCACACAGCGATAGCGATAAAAACAAATACTATTATTATTGGAATCCATATGTTTTTCAGGTGTTGCTTTTTCTCATTAAAAACACCTGAAAAGAAAAGAAAAAAAGAAGTTGCACTTAAGACACACTAAGTAAAGCCCACAGTGTTTTTCTCAGAGCCTCCACTTAACTTCTTCTAGGTCACCTTTGTGGGGTGAGTGGGTTCATCTATATCCAGAAGCTCTGGGGCTCTGGGCAGGATTTCTGGGAGTGGGAGTCTCATGTGGCAGACAGGGCAGGGTGGGGTCTGGGAGAGCCAGGCAGAAGAAACAATTCTGCTTTCCCAAAGACTTTGTTTTTGGACTCTGAGTGTGTTGGCAGAGGGGTAATAGAAGGGGAGGGGAGGGAGGAAAGTGAGACCTCTGGGGGTAGTGAGAAGCACAGAGCATCGAGGGTGTCTGCCCTCCCCCACCATCTTTGGCTGCCTCCCACTTGGCCACTTCCTCAGGATACATGATTGCTTTGGGAATCATGTAGGTCACGATGATACATCACACCCCATAGCTGCTCAAGGCTCTTGGAGAGACCTGAGATAGACTGTTACCTCTGCAGAGACTTTGGACAGAAAAAGAGAAGGATAAATTGCTGACAGGATTCTCAGCTATGCAGAAATAGGTCTGTTCACTGGAAGTCTTAGGGTCCCAGGAGATTGTGAGGTTTGCTTCCTCTAGAAGTATGTTTCCTGAGACCTGCCACCTCAATGAGACATGGTCATTTGGATTCTCCACAGAGCAGGTCAGGTGGATCTCACAGGTGTCATTCTCAGAGAGTTGCGTATAATTGGCAACGTGTAAGTTCCTCAGTCGTCCTGTGTGCAGAGAAAAGGCCTGGATTAAGGACAAATGTCTTGGCTCAGCCCTCTGTGAAAAATATCTTTCCCCTCAATGTATTCCTCCTGACACTCTGTTGTGTGTTATGGTCTGTATACTCTGTAAATAACTGTGCTTGTTTTGCCTAATTGATGGGATCAAGGTCTGGGATGACCAGATGAGGAATATCAGTATGAGACAGAGTAGCCATTGGGGTTACCACCCACTAGTTGGGTGGTTTTGGGCTGGTTACCTTACTTTTCCAGGCTTCAGTTTATTCCTGGGGTCCTTCCTAGCCCTTGTTCACTGCCCCTTGTGTAAAGACAATTTGGAAAGAAAGCTGAGGGCAAGCCCTAACTTAGCCAGGTAAGAAACCAGAACCAGGCACAAGAGCCCTGTTTCCTCGATCACCAGAATTCCCTAGCTAGGGTGGAAGATGGAAGCTTGACTTTCTTGGAGAACCATATTTCCCTCAAATCTGTGGGAATCCTGGTCCTCATTGTATCTGATGCTGGCTCCGATGGTGACAAAGATACTGATGTGGAATGTCAGCAAGACAGAAAGACACAAGTTGAGAACTGAAAAATTGGGGAAGAAAGAAGTAAAAAATTGAGAGAATTTCAGGCAACAAAGAATTGTTGTATATTCAGGCATTTGAGAAAATATCTACTGCAAAATTTCTTTCTTTAAAAAAAATTTTTTTTAAAGATTTTATTGGGGAATTCGGGAAGGGGAACAGTGTTGGGAAATTGGGGAGGGGAAACTGCCAAGTTGTTGTCCTTCAATCTTAGTTGTGGAGGGCGCAGCTAGCTCAGCTCCAAGTCCAGTCACCATCCAGCCACCCTCTGGCAGCTCACAGCCACTCAACTCAAGGTGCCGTGTTCAATTCTTTCTTTTCTTTTTTTATTGCACAAATTTCTGATAGCAAAGACCAGAAAATATTGGCTAGTAAGGTGTCAGTAGCTATGAATCAATGGGGACATGGGAACAGTACAGGAAAGTTCACTGACCCAGACTTAGCCTGAGGGTTGACGTAAAGGTGACCCAGTAAAAACAGAATGACTCTAGCTGTCTGGTTAGAAGCTAAGTTTAGTTAACTGAGTGGAAGTGTTGGAACCTTTCTTGCTAGAATGAAGCTGTGTTTTTTGGTGGTTTTTTTTTTTAATTGGGAAATTGGGGGAAGGAAACAGCATTGGGGAATCGGAAAAGGATAACAGAAAACTTGCTGTCCTTCAGTCTAGTTGTGGAGGACGTCACTTCACTGGCTTATGTTGGTATTATCATTGTGCTCTTCCTGGGTGAGGCAGTCGCTCGCTGGCTATTGGACAGCTGCTCACAGCAGCTCACGGCGGCTCATGGCAGCTCACAAAAGCTCATGCCAGCTGCCAGCCAGCCCCACTGCAGCCTATGCCATTGCGGGCAAGTCATGTCAGCCCAGCTCCGGGTCCAGCTGTTGTTCACCATCCTAGCTGTAAAGGGTGCAGCGTCATTGGCCCTCATGTGGGATCCAAACCAGTGCCCTGCTGCTCAGAGCTGGCATCCCAAGCCAATTCCTGACCAACGTGCCACTTGGCCGGCCCCAGAATGGAGCTTTTATGTAACAGCAAGAGTGTTGGATTTGGAGTTAGGAAAACCTAGGTTAAGATCATGACTGTCATTTACTGGCTGCACGACCATGGTTTGATACATTGTTAATCTCTTCAAGCCTCTGTAATACCTACTTCTTAGGTAATTATGATGATTACATGAGACAGTGCCTAACACAGCAATAGCAAATATTTGGCATGAATGTCACATCTTCCTCAAGGGAGATGTCAGTACATGGCTGGCCTCAAAAGTCTATCTTTTTGCCCTTTTCCACTTGATGAATATATTCCTACTTGACATTTCCACTTGGATATAATGTGTATCTCAAACTCAACAGGTTCAAAAGAAATCCCGTTTTTCTCTCCAAAACCTGCTTGATCAACAGCCTTCCCCATTTTAGTTGATAACAACTGCATCTTTCCGGTTGCTCATGTCAATAGCCCTGGAGTTATCTCGGAACTCATCTTTTTATCTGATACCCCCAACACCAGGAAGTCCTGATGGCTTTACCTCCAAAATGTATCCAGAATCCAACCACTTCTCACTACCATTCTGGTCCAAGCCAGCATCATTTCTTGCTTGGATTGTTGCAATGGCCTCCTAATTGATCCAGTGGCTTCCACACTTGTTCCTTACAATCTATTTACAATGGAGTAGTCAATGGGATCTTAAACAAGTAAGTCAAATCATATTACATCTCTGTAAAACCCTCTGACGGTTCTCAGTCTGAGAGTTAGAAGCCGAAGACCTGATGCTGGCTATCAGAGCCTTACATAATCTGGCCCTCTATTTCCTTACTGACCTCATTTCCTGTTACTCTGCCCCCACTCTGCTCCTTGACTTTTGACCTCCTTGATGTTCCTTGAGCACACCAGGCACAGAAAGTGCATGTGCTGGATGGTTCTGCATCCAGATATCTGCCCACCTCACTTCCTAACTTCCAACAGGTCTTGGCTCAAGTGTCGTCTTCTCAACAACTGATGTTATCCTACTATGACCACTCTAATTAAAATTGGCCCCTGCTTTCTGGAGGCAATCCTGATACTCCTTATGCCATTCTAATCTCTCTTTTCTTCATAACAGTCATGGCTTTCTTATATCTTGTGTTATTTGTTTATATATTATGTATATTGTTTATTATCTTTCCCTATTCCCCACCCAGAATGTCTGCCCCATGAGGGCAGGGATCTTCGTCTGTTTTACTCACTTCGATATTTTAAGTGCCTAAAATATGTTTTTGTGTGTGAAATAAACATTTTTTAAAATTAGTTTCAGCTGTATAACAGTGCAATAGTTATACTTTTTACCTCTCAAAGTGACAACCCCCCTCCCCCAATCCACCATCCCCCTCCCCCTCCATATCATACATATCTATTACAATTCCCTTGACTCCACTCCCACACTATACTCCACATCCTGTGGAAAAAATATATATATATATTCAATTATAGTTGACATACAATATTATACAACATCAGCTTCAGGTGTACAGTGCAGTGATCTACCCCATTAAAATACTTTTTCAACAAATATTGTTGACTCAATGAATAAACTTAACATGGCTTTACACTGAATATTAGGCAGTTACTCCCAATTAATTGATCTTGGCCCGTAAGATAAAATTTTGCCATCCCTACCCTGGTACATTCAGAGTAATTGGTCAATGTTTTAAGAAACCTATATAGTTCACGCTTTGAAATTCCTTTTTCAGTATTGTAAAATGTGTTTGTGGAGCTCACACATTTTTGTGTACACATCTTTGAAAGAGAGGTACTTTAAAAAGTCTTGAGAAGGGACTGACATTGAGCCTCAGGAGTGTGCTTGTTGCACCATTAAGAAGACCAAGAAGTCATGCTTGGTCTTCTTAATGGTGGCAGAAGAACGTTGCCTCAAGTGTGATATGGGTCTGTTTTCACTTTCCACTGGATGTGTCACTCTCTCTCTCTCTCTTTTTCAATTGGGGAATTGGGGAAGGGGACCAGCCAAGTTGTTGTTCTTCAGTCATAGTTGTAAAGAATGCTGGTCGCCATCTGGCTTCCCATTGGCAGCTCGTGGCCTCTAAGCTCAAGGTGCTGTGTTCAATCTTAGTTGCGGGTAGGTGTAGGCACCATCCCATGTGGCAGTCGAACCAGCAGGCTTGTTGTTAAGAGTGCATGCTCTATCCACTGAGCCATCCGGATGACAGCTCAGCTCAAGGTGCAGAGTTCAGTCTTAGATGTGGGCGGGTGTAGCCCACCATCAAACAGGCAGTCTTGTTGTTAGGAGCACATGCTCTCACCAGCTGAGCCATCCTGCCACTTGGCAGCTCAGCGGCAGCTCAGCTCAGGCACAGCGTCACTGGCCCATGTGGGAATTGAACCTGTGGTCCTGTTGCTCAGAGCTCGCACTCTTAAGCTTTTTTTTTTTTTTAAGATTTTATTGGGGAATTGGGAGAGGGAAACAGCATTGGGGAATCAGGGAAGGGGAACAGACAAGTTGCTGTTCCTTTGCTCTTCAGTCTAGTTGTAGAGGACATCGCTTTACTGGCTCATGATGGTATTATCATTGTGTTCTTCCCGGGTGAGGCAGTTGCTCACTGGCCAATGGATGGCCGCTCACAGTGGCTCACAACAGCTCACGAAAGCTCACACCCCCTGTCAGCCAGTACCACTGCAGCCTACGCCATCGCCGGCAACTCACAGCAGCCCAGCTCCAGGTCAAGCTGTTGTTCACCATCTTAGCTGTAGAAGGCACAGTGTCACTGGCCCTCGTATGTGGGATCTGACCCGGGGCTCTGCTGCTCAGAGCTGGCGTTCCAAGCCAACTCCTAACCAACGTGTCACTTGGCTTGCCCTTAAACTAACTTTTAACCAACTGAGCCACTCGGCCGGCCTGGATGCGTCTCTCTTATTCCCAGGATTCTAGCACTTAATGATCTCTGATTACCCAGAGTAGTTTTGCCTATAGTGGGTTGAATGATGACCAACCCCCTTCCCCTGCAAAGATATTCTAATTCCCAGAATTTTCTTTGGTAAAAGGGTCTTTGCAGACGTAATTAAGTTAGATGAGGAGAGGATCCTGGATTATCTGGGTGAGCCTTAAATCCAATGAAAATTATCCTCATAAGAGAAAAGCAGAGAGATATTCAAAATAGACAGAAGAGGAAAAAACACAGGGAAGAAGAAGAGGCAATGTGACCATGGAGGCAGAGATTAGAGTGATATAGCCACAGGCCAAGGAACACCAAGAAAGGCCAACAGCTGGAAGAGGCACATAATAGATTGTCTGCTATGGCCTCCAGAGGGAATGTAGCCTTGCCCACACCTTAATTTTGGACATCTGGCTTCTAGAATTGTGAGAAAATAAAATTTCTATTGTTTTAAGCCACCAAGTTTGTGGTATTTTTTTTTTTGGCTGCCCCATGAAGCTAATACACTGCCCCAGCGTGATTTTGCCCCTTTAGTTTGATTTTTCTTTCAGAACTTCTCCAGACATTCTTTCTTTCCTGTGACATTTACTTGTCATGTGTTCTATTCTTCCAGGAACATAACAGACTAATCTAGCATGGTAAACCTGCCAAATACTCTTGAAATATTAAAGGTTAACATGTAACCTATTTGTGGCATTTTATTTTAACATTTTTTTTTCTTTTTTGGATACCAAGTCTTAACCCAAAGGACTCTGAGTGAATTTTAGATACTGTGGATTCTCTAGTAGATAAAAAGTATGAAATCTCAGTGGCTTTTAAAGTTATCAATTTAATGCTTGAATCTCCTGTAAAACATTCCTGCCACTCATGGCATCTCTGAACATCACTGATTGCTAGGAAGATTTTTTTTTCTGATATTGACTTATAAGCAGTGTCATAATAGTTTCCATAATTTGATCTTGAGGACATGAGCTATCTGGGGAAATATTATTTTATTAATTAAACAACCTTGATAGAAAAGATGTTTCTCTTTTCCAGCTCATCCTTATAGAACATTTTCTAGGTAGACCACTGTTTTGTACACTGACTATTGGATCAGATGAGCCTTTATGTAAAGGGAGGTATTATGTCAGCTAGTTATGTGGAAAGCTCTCCCACTTACTATCTCTATGACTGTAGGGGGGTTGCTGTGACTAACATTGTGCCTAAAGGGTAAGGATAGTACTTACCTCATGGAGCTTTTGTGAGGCTTACATGACAGATACATGTAATGGACATGGTAACAAAATCATAGATACTTAACTTCATTTACTTCTACTACATTTCTAGTTGAAAGGAACCATTTTATGGTGTGAAGTGGAGTGAAGTGATTTTGGGCTGGGAGTCACAAGACAAGTCCTATTGTCAGCTCTGTCCCTAACTGGCTGTACAATACCATTGAGTTGCTTTACCACTGGAACTCAGTCCAGCTCCAAATGCCATATTCTTTACCATTAGGCTACACTTGCAGTCACATAGAATTGAAATATATAATATTTTTTTACGTATTTAATTAAACCCCAAGCTCTGACTCACTGAAAATCCTCAGAGTGTAATTGAAAATCTTTGAAGAGGCCATTGTGGTTATCTGGGCGCTATAAAGTCCTGTGTTTGCCATTGTCAGGTTTTTGATCTGCAAGGAGTAGGACTGGGTGACGTTCAGTTGTTCTTTCCATTTTGGATCAGTAAACAAGATTAGTGCTTGTTTTGGCTGTATGAAGATGATAGATAATCCATTATGATGCCAGATGATGGACTGGATCTCATCTTCTGCAGGAAACTCCAGGGGAAGAGTTACCGATTCCCCTAACACTCCTTTCAATGGGGTTTCAGCAATTGTGTTCCCTGTAAACACAGGATGAAAATTGTTATAACTCCTCCTGCCCCCCATCTTCACCCCATAACTTGGCTAGTCTGTTAGAGTTCTCTGATGCTGAAGCCTAGAGATATAACGAAGAAGGAAAAGGTTAGAAAAAGTGTTGAAATGGACAATCAGGAAGGTTCCATCCCCAACAAAATGCCTGTCACTTTTGGATAATAAGCATCTGGCCCAGATGATCCTGGCCCAGTCCACCCTCCCACACTAGCTGGTTATCCTAGGTCATAGCCATAATCTCTGAACCCAGTCTCTGAGTTCTCTGGGTATAAGATGGTGGTGGGAGGCAGGGAACTACATCAACTTCTTGCTACAGACTCCAAAACCATAAATGTTTGCTGATAAGGTATAATTAAAGCTCAACATATACTGATTACTTACTATGTGTTCAATATTGAGGGCTTGTGAGATTTAGAGGACTAATAATCTTAATTTATAGTTTTTCTTATACATTACTCCATTTGATGCTGACAATTCTGTAAGGTAGGTAGGATGGATTTTTTTTTATAAATTATTTTTTATTATGAAATACACATTTTTTAGAATTAATGGATGGATGTTTTTATCTCCATTTATAGATAAAGGAACTGAAGCAAAGAGAGGTTAACTAATTTTCTCAGGGTTACACAACTAAAGAATGAATCAGGGTTCAAACCCAACTACTTTGACACCAACTATTTTGTGTTTTTTTCATGATATCAGAAGATATCTTTTCTCTTCTCAAAAAAAGTATAGTCTAGTAATTGAGGAGATAAACATAAAAATAACAAATATAATTTCAAAGGAACATGCAATGGCCATATTCTTGTGAGCCTATATCAGAGCCATTAATATTTGAGCATAAAAGGTGCAACAGTCACAATTATTCTTAAAGGAGATGCTTCTTTAGCATCCTTTATCAAATACTTAGCACTTGTCACACTGTTTTGTGGCCATCTGTTTACTTGCTTGTCTAATCAACCATGCTTTAATTATCTTTGCATCTCAGCACTGCCTGACACAAAGTAATATCTGGAAATATGTGAGTGAATAAATAACTATAACCATGACCTCAACCTTCTTGAGATCTCTTAATTCTTAGGAGAGGATCTGAGTAGGAAAAGAAATGTCCCTTGGAATGTTGACACTCAGCTCCTGGGTGAGCTCACACTTCCACTTTCTTCCCTGAAGTGTCATGTGGATGCCAGGCACATGAACACTGCCATCATCAATCCCCACTCTGTACCATATCTTTCCCATCAACCCTTTAACATGTTGTTATTTGTCATCTCAACTCTTCTTCCCTCTTGGAACCATATGTGTGACCATCACAAGCAAACTCTTGAGAAAAAAAAATCCAGATACAAATAAAATACAATGGTATGATTCCATTTATTTTAAGTTAAAAAACAGACAATACATGGGGCTGCCAATTAGCTCAGTTTGTTAGAGCGCAGGGCTCATAACACCAAGTTTGCCAGTTCAATCTTTACATGGGCCCCTGAGTTGCACCCTCCACAACTAGAATGGAACAGCTACTTGACTTGGAGCTGATGGGTTGTGGCTTGGCCTTTCAAGGCACTTCCAAGCATAGCACAGGTGGCAGACATCTGTGGATTTCTTTCTGGCTCCCCCTAAGTGGCCCCAGGTGGGGCACGGGTTGTGGCTGAAGTAGATCTACAGCGAATCCCCTCCAAGGTTGTCCTGGAACTGGTGCCCCCAGTGGCCAGCTTCAAAATGAGTTGGAGCATCACCCAGCCTCCCTCAAGAATGACACACACAAGGAATGGATTGTGCAGGCACCAGAGCCCTGCTGAGGCAGATCCTGCTCTGTAAGGTCAGCCCCTGCACCACAACTACTCCACTGTAGTCAAAACCAGTCCTTACAACCAAAGAGCCTGAGGGTCAGTCTCTCCCATTGATGTGCAAATAGCAACAAGGCTCAACTACAAGAGGAGGACACACACAATTCACACAGGAGACACACCTGGAGTGCGTGGCTCAAGTGACCAGAAAGACTGCGCCATTCAGCCCCACAGTACACCTACTACATAAGGCCCCTCTACTACGACCAGAAGATATAGTAGCTCTAACTAATACATAAAAACTAACACAGAGAGGCAGCCAAAATAGGGAGACAAGAAACATGTCCCAAATAAAAGAACAGAACAAATCACCAGAAAAAGAACTAAACAAAATGGAGACAAGCAATCTACCAGATGCAGAGTTCCAAACACTGGTTATAAGGATGCTCAATGATCTCAGGGAGAACTTCAACAAACAGATAGGAAACATAAAATTAGAGATAGAAAACATGAATAAGAACCAGTTAGAACTAAAGAATATAATAATGAAAATTAAGAATACATTACAGGGGATCAACAGTAGATTAGATGAAGCAGAGGATCCAACCAGCAATATAGAAGATAAGGTAGTAAAAAACATCCAATCAGAATAGCAAAAAAAAAAAAAAAAATCCAAAAAAATTTAGGAGAGTTTAAGGAGCCTCTGGGACAATTCAAGTGTACCAACATTTGGGTTATAGGGGTACCAGAAGGAGAATTGAGAGAGCAAGGAATTGAAAACCTAGTTGAAGAAATAATGATAGAAAACTTCACTAACCTGAAGAAAGAAATAGATATATAAGCTCAGAAATTGCAGAGAGTCCCAAGCAAGATGAACCAAAACAGACCCACACCAAGACACATCATAACTAAAATGCCAAAGGTTAAAGACAAAGAGAGAATCCTAAAAACAGCAAGAGAAAAGCAGTTAGTGATCCACAAGGGAGCATGCGTAAGACTGTCAGCTGATTTCTCAACAGAAACTTTGCAGGCCAGAATGGAGTGGCAGGAATATTCAAAATGATGAAAAGCAAGGACCTACAACCAAGATTACTCTACCCAGAAAAGCTATCATTTAGAAATGAAGGACAGATAAAGAACTCAGACAAGAAAAAGCTAAAGGAGTTCATCACCACCAAACCAGTATTACAAGGAACCTTAGAGAGACTTCTTTAACACACACACACACACACACACACACACACACACACACACACTGATAAAAAATATGAATAATAAAATGGTGATAACTACATACCTATCAACAATTATTTTCAATGTAAATGGAATAAATGTTCCAATCAAGATAGGGTGGCTCAATGGCTGAGAAAAAAAGACCTTACATATGCTGCCTACAAGAAATGCACTTTAGATTGAAAGACACACACAGGCAGAAAGTAAAGGGATGGGAAAAGATATTTCATGAAAATGGAAACAAACAAACAAACAAACAAAAGCTGGGGTAACAATGCTTATAAGAGACTAAATAGACTTTAAAACAGAGTCTATGACAAGATACAAAGAGGGGCCTAGTAATTCCACTTCTGGGTATTTATCTGAACAAACCCAGAATGCTACTTTGAGGGGACGTGCTCATCCATATGTTCATTGTCGTATTACTTACATAAGCCAAGATATGAAGGCAACCTGGGTGTCCCTGAATGGATGAATGGGTTAAGAAGAAGTATATATATACAATGGAATATTACTCAGCTGTAAAAAAGAACAAAATCTGCCATCTGCGACAACATGGATAGACTTAGAAGGTACTGTGCTGAGTGTAGTAAGAGAGACTGTGAAAGACAAATGTCATATGATTTCACTTATAAGTGGAATCTAAAGAACAAAATAAACAAACAAAACAGAGACAAACTCACAGATCCAGAGAACATTTTGATGGTTGCCAGATGGGAGTGAGGTTGGGGGTGGGTGAAAAGGGGAAGAAGTTAAGAAGTACAAATTGAACACCATATTTAATTTAATCTAAGAAATATTGATTGTAAAATATGCCATTATTTTCCATACCACTAAGAAAGTTGGGTGGGAGAGAGTTGACAATTAACTTGTGACAGTTAATGGCCATGCCCATTTAAATTTGAGATGCTAAAGTGTGCCCAAAAAAACCCAAAACAAAACAAAACAAAAAGTGTACATTTTAGGATCAATGAAATATGGTATTTTGACTCTATTCCTGAAGAGAAATTTAGAGTTACAAAGACAGTTCTTAGTCCTATGTCTTAGAGAATCTTGCCCTTCCTAGATCTTGGGATCTTTTTTAAAGTGTTGATCTTACCCTTTCACAAAAATTAGGGTCTTCCTTTTGTCACCCACAATGAGCAGGGAGATTATGTATCTTTGGTATAGCATTCACACACTGTGAGAAAATGGCTCATTTTAGTTAATGACAAGTTAAAATGGCACTGTCACAAAATAAAATAGAATAATAAAATAGCACTGGCACTTATGTTGCAAAATTCTGTTACCACAAAGAGCAGATATTTTCCTCTTTTGCTCTGTGCATTAACTTTCCCAGAACTATGGACAAATTGATTGAAAGAATATTGATTATTTCTCCTCTTTTAATGTAAGGCACTATTGAAAGTGGCAGTTTCTTGTCATGATAGGAAAATTGCATCAGTTGGATATTCTTTTGAGAAACTGAAGTTTGCAAAGGGCCATTGACTTCCCAAATTGAACAGGCTTAGGGAATTTTTCTTCAAACTCAGAACATTCTATTTTAAAAATTTATTTATTGTCAGCAATTCCTCATGGATGTCACTTTTCTCTCAGTCTGATTGATGCAAAAGTGTTTTATGAATTGAAAATATTGTTATTTTATTGTTATTTTAGTTTGATATGAAATAAAGTCTTGGTGATTTGATTTTTTTTAATTAAAAAAAAGAAGAACAAATTGGTTGTTACACAGTAGTCATGGGGATGTAGGGTAGAGTATAAGGAATATAGTCAATAATATTATAATAACTGTGTGTGGTGCCTGATGCATACTAGATCTATTGGGGTGATAAATGGGAGTTAGAGGGAAGGGTGCAAAAGGTGATAGGATAAAGAAATACAAATTTGTAGTTACAAATTAGTCATGGGGATGTAAAGTATAGGGAATATAATCAATAATATGGTAATAACTA